TTAAAGATATAACCATGAAGTACACCTTTTCAAAATATATAAATCATTTCCTCTAAAATAGTCAAAGATAACGTACGAATATAACCAAAGGTCCAATTTAATAATTTATAGAATTTTGATGTAATTTAATTATTTTTTAGTTTAAATTTTATGAGGTATGTATACAAAATTCAAATATAGTATAGGCATGAAAATAAATTGTATGAATTGTTTTGTCTAAAGGAGTCTTCTTTCAATATTAGTAGCGACGGAAAAAAGATAAGAAAAACTTTATGAATCTTTTCATCTAAAGATGTACATGATAATGCAAAACAATAAAAAAGGATCTCTCACACACACATATATCAAGGATTTAATTTAATTATCTATTATTTTTAGATTTTAATTATTGGCTTTTTTAACATATTTTTAGGGATTTTTAGACTTTTATTAGTCATAATAAAATGCCAATAAGGTGATATAGGTTAGGGTTGATTTAAGAATCTTATTTTATATTATTTAGGTGTCGTTTGGTTATCGGAACAAAAAAATTGAAATGAGAATACATAAATCGAAATGAAAATTAAGGAATTGAAATGACATTTACATTCTCACATTGTGTTTGAAATATTAATAAGGAATAAGCATGAAATTTAAATTTTTTAATATCTGTTTTTTATATGAACAAAAATAATGATTAAAAAAATAATTTTATCAAATTATAATGGTTGTAAAAATAATAGAGGTGATGATGGTGGTTGTTGTGGTGGTGGTGGTTGTAGTGGTAATAGAAATAGTTAATGCACAATAAATAGGTAAAATATATTATTATTTTGAAGAAAAAAATTCATTCTCATTTCTTACTTTTTAAATAGGAGTTGAATGTATGTAATTTTTATTTTCATTCTCACTATTTATTCTCATTCTCATCTCATTCTTTTGAACCAAGCGAGTTATAAAATGGAAATAAAACATTCATTCTCATTCCCACTATTTCATTCCTAGTAACTAAACAACATAAGGTTTTATGTGATGTATCAAATATGCATATAATGGAAAAACAAGATTAACCTCTTTTTTTGGAAATTATATTAATATTTTAGCCTCTTTCTTAATTATAGATAGAATTGAATTTACATAGTAGTATTGATATATTTTTGTATTGTGATATACAAAGAAAAATAATGTTTTCCTCTTACCAAGAGAAATAGGTACACAAAAGAAAAAGTGAGAATCACATCCGAATCCATAAAAATAACAAAAATATTTCCATCTCGACTCAATTTTTTTTTTTTTGTTTCTCTCTCTCTTGTGAAATAAGTATTGATAATTACTCTATGAGTAATATAAAATTTCTCCCTGGCTTTCTATTCTTATTCTTACTTCACCGAAGATCTGCTTATCTTCTCTTCATAAACCTGTTTCAACATGCTCTTCATCGTCTATCGCTGAGATCTTGAGAAACCGACAATCAAATCATATTCTTACAGAAAGCATGAACTACTTCATCATTAAAAAGTTTCTAGGTAATGAGGTTTTTGCCCAAGCCCCCATCCCAAAATGCCAACACTGTGAGGTACCTTGTCTGTCGGAAAAAATCCACTCTTATCTTCTTTTCGGCATCATATTATCCCAGTCCAATTTTGTTACCTGGATCATAATCCTGTCACTTGGTGTACATTTTCTTGGATTCTCAACTGTTGCGGTGTCAAATAGACCCTCAAGCTATTCTTAATTTTCTCTACTCATATTGGTAATATCTTTCAACTTCTTGCCTGTCTGATATAAGAATAATGACTTGCTAACCAAGAAATTTGAGCAGTGGCCATCTTTCTGATATTCATCTCTGATTCTGCAATTGTCAGCAAGTCATCCGCTTCATAAATCTGAGTTATTGTGGACTTCAGAACTTCCTTCTTTCTCTTAAGGGGCTCGTGTCACTTAGAAAGGCCTTGATAAGCTCACGTTGTGTCTTTTTTTCATTCCCTCTCTGACTTCTAAAAGTATATATTGAGCTTAACTGGTTTGTGAGAGTTGTAAGCAATTCTTCTGAGAGTGTTTAAATCATAGTGGTATAGGTGAGATTGTAATGGATCCAATAAGCAACTCAAGTCCTAAGGAGTCACTGGTGGATTGAGCAGCAAGAAAAATAGTTGATGAGAGAAAAGAAGAATAGAAAGAGGAGACGATTTCTGTTTAATTCATAGCATATCGGTTGTATGTCCCTCGGTTACAATATATTTGCCTAGATAATACCAGTCTTCTATAACAAGTATACATATGTCCAGTACTTGAAAAACTATTGAAAGTGAAACACGAAATAACAAGGAAATGCCTGCATCATTGATCACTTCCCTCGTACATATCAACTGTAACATGCACATTCTGAGTATTCACGATATATCTTACTAGTTAAATCGCTAGATAAATTATGATCACCAAATCCTTATTATATAATAAGTTAATTCTCTAATTTGTTCTTATATCTTAAATTGAATCAATTTTATGTTCGAAAATATATTAAGTTTTCAATCTATTTTTAGTTAAGATTTTCATGTAAAACCACCGAAATTATTTATGTAATTTGCACATAAAACATTTTTATTTGTAAAATGCTCTTGCAAGACAATCAAATAGAAAGCTTTTGTGTACAAATTGTGCGATTAATTTTTATAGTTTAACCTTAAAATCTTGACATAAAGATAAATTAGACATTTAATATGTATTTAAGAAAAATTTATTGTAGAAAAAAAAAACAAATAGGATTCAGAACCCAATTCAGAATAAAAAAAATAATAATTTATACCTCCATTTTCTTGTTCAAGTAGATCAATTGATATATGCATATTAAATACTGTAACATTCTTGCTATTTTTCCTTATGTTATCTCTATCTTTGTTGCAACATATGTTAGAAAAGAGTAAACTAAAATGAGCCAGAGTCCGACCCCTCCTCTCCTTAGGCAGCATAAACACCATTAACAAGCCATTGCATGCACGCAAATTTGTAGAATTAGATTGTATTAGAGACTAATATAAATTATATTATGGGGTCTCGATTATCAACTTAAACTTTTAGATGAGATGGTTCTTTAATATGGTATCGTAGCTTAATTGATCAAGAAATTCTGAATTCAAATATCACTATCCTCAATTTCTCAAGTATTAAGCACATCAAGTCTTACCATCTTTAATGTGTAAGTTTTCATGTGAGAGGTATGTTAGAGATGAATATAAATTATATTATGAGATCTTATTTATCAAAGCTTAAGCTTTTAAGTGAGATTATCCTTTAATAGATTGAATTATGATAAAAATTAAGATCAAGCAGATATTACAAAAATTAAGGAACATTAAAAATAAAGAACTCAAGTCCTAATTTTGTTTCTCTTCTCGTTCAATTTTCTTAAAAAATTATCACCTTTGTTTGTTTGACTTCTTGATGCTCTGTGTTCAGAGCCTTCAACTTCCTTCTTTCCCTTCATCTTGGAATTTCTATTTCCAGAGCCAAACAACATAAGATTGATTACATCCACCTCAAACCAGAAGTCTGTGAATCACAAAGCACGGGGAAAGTGGACTCCCAAGCGATATTCACATCCCTAGTTCCAGGTCAAACTGTTCACCAATCACTTGTTAAAATATCTTCACATTTTATTTATTAATCTTTCTCTCTCTGTTTTTTTTTTTTTTTTGAGACAACAAAAAGGTGTTTTTGTATCTCTTCATCCAGTGTTGATAGAGTCTTTTTTTTTTTTTTCGAAAGTTTTTAAGAATACATTTTATAACAAATAACGGTATAAAAATTCGAAATAGAAAACATAAAAACAGTGAAAACTTTGTAACCACATGCTCATGCTAGGATTACTAAAAGTCAAAACTTCACATTTTGGTGCAAACCATCGTATACAAGCTTGAAGGCTCCAGGCATGATATTACTATCAATTGAGTTTCAAACTTTTCAATTTTAATAATTTTACCTTAAATGTGAAGGTTAATACCCTCATTTATTCTTATCTAATAAATCAAAATTTCAATTTGTCCCTAAATCCAAAAATATTTCCAATCTATTTTATTATTTGAGTCTGGTTTCTAATTTATCTTTTTAGTTAAAATTTTGGATCAAATTAAGCATGTGATTTGCACATGGTATATGATTTGATGAAATTATTTTTGTTTTTTTAATACAAATTATCTGTATCTAATAATATAAAGATTAATTAATGATAAACTCGACTAAAAATTTTAATTGAAACGATAGATTAGAAATCAATTTAAATAATAAGAACATAGTAGAGGTGTTTATGAATTTAGAAATACATTGAAAATTTAACCTATTATGCATTATGAAATATTCTTTATTTATACATTTGACTGTCAAGTACTATACTATTATTAGTTGGAGGAAAATTTATCATATTTTTATGTTTAAAATTTTTTATCGTTTTTTATTAAGACAATTTGAGATTTATTTTGAATAAAAGCACTTGAAGAGTATGTCGAAATTATGTGTATATTATATTTTAACTCATTAGTAGATTGCCAGAGCCTAGATAGAATCTTTAGGTAAAAAAGATAAATATAGATAATTTTTATTATATAAAACAATATTATAATAATGAGTGAATATTTATATTTAAATGAGATTATTGTATTAAGAAATAAACTAAAAAATTACAATACAGTAAGTGTCAAGGATTGATGAATAAGTTTTGAAAAATATAAAGGTTAAATGTAAACTCGTAAAACTAAGAAAGGTTATCATAAAACTTTTGGAAAAATTAGAGGGACAAATTGAAAACATCAACATGTTTGGCACTCAATGGACAACAAGATAATATTTTAAGGACTATAAACTATGTTTCTCCAAATAATAATGACTGAAAAACACACACTCTCTCCCTCCCCCTCTAATCTTTCCTCTTATTTAGCGTGTTCTCCCTGAAAACGAAGACAGCCCTCAAGAAGTTTGTGATTTCTCAACCTTTCTTCTCTATGTAGTTCCTTTCCGAAACCCTAAAAATGTCGGCGACTAGAAGAAGAAGAACGCCAGACCCAGAAATTACTAGATGGGCAATCGAATTCTTACTCTGTCAATTACAATCCCCTAATTCAATTGAGATGATTAAGAAATTGGTAGGAATGAAGGGGATGTGATAATGGATTCGATGAAGAATGCTTATTGTGCTGTGGCGGTGGAGTGTACGGTGAAGTATATGCTGGGGGATTTGCAGAGGGCGAGAAGGGGGAGTTATTGGAGGCGCTGGAGAGGTTTTGGAAGGAGAGGGTTGGTGGGTTGGAGACAGAGAGGAGGAGTGAGTTGGTGACGAAATGTTAGGAGGAAATGGAAGCGGCGGTGTGGGATGATGGGGTTGCTAAGAGGTGGTTGAAAAAGAATGCGAGGAATGAGGCAATGGAGATGGTTAGGGTGTATTTAGGGGAAGCGGTAGCTGTTAATGGGCGGGTTTTTGTTGAGATGGTTGTGAGGATGGGGATAAGAGAGAGAGGTGGTGGTCTGTGCAGGAAGATAGGGGATGGACAAAATTAGGGGGTTGAAGTAAATGTGGGTGGTGGGGAGGGGAAGGGGCTTGAAAAGAAAAGTAGGAAATGTGGGTTCTGAAGGAGTGCTGGAAGTTAATGTGGTTGGTAATTGGTTTATATTAATGTCGATGCTGGAGAGGGATGTTCGAGGTTAGTTGATGGGAGTCAAAAGTAATACGAGGAATGAGGCAGGGAAGATGGTTAGGGTTTGTTTAGGGGAAGCGATTACTGTTAATGGTATGATGTTTGTTGATTTGGTTGCAAGGATGGAGATAAGAGAGAGAGGTGGTGGTCTGTGTATGAAGAGAAGGGATGGACAAAATGAGGGGGTTGAAGTAAACGTGGGTGGTGAGGAGGGGAAGGGGCTTGTAAAGAAAAGTAGGAAAGGTGGGGTTTCTGAAAATGGAGTGCTGGAAGTTAATGTGGGTGGCAGTTGGTTTATATTAATATCGATGTTGGAGAGGGATGCTCGAGGTTAGTTGATGGGAATCAAAAGGAATACGATGAATGAGGCAGTGGAGATGGTTAGGGTTTATTTAGGGGAAATGATTGCTGTTAATGGGCCGATGTTTGTTGAGATGGTTGTGAGGATGGAGACAAGAGAGAGAGGTGGTGGTCTGTGTAGGAAGAGGGGATAGACAAAATGAGGGTTTGAAGTAAATGTGGGTGGTGGGGAGGGGAAGGGGCTTGTAAAGAAAAGTAGGAAAGTTGGGGGTTCTGAAAATGGAGTGCTGGAAGTTAATGTGGTTGGCAGTTGGTTTATATTAATGTCCATGCTGGAGAGGGATGCTCGAGGTTAGTTGATGGGAATCAAAAGGAATACGAGGAATGAGGCAGTGGAGATGGTTAGGGTTTATTTAGGGGAAGCGGTTGCTGTTAATGGGCCGATGTTTGTTGAGATGGTTGTGAGGATGGAGATAAGAGAGGGAGGTGGTGGTCTGTGTAGGAAGAGAGGGGATGGACAAAATGAGGGGGTTGAAGTAAATGTGGGTGGTGGGGAGGGGAAGGGCTTGTAAAGAAAAGTAGGAAAGGTGGGGGTTCTGAAAATGGAGTGCTGGATGTTAACGTGGGTGGCAGTTGGTTTATATTAATGTCGATGTTAGAGAGGGATGTTCGAGGTTAGACGATGGTAATCAAAAGGAATATAAGGAACGAGGCAGTGAAGATGGTTAAGGTTTATATAGGGGAAGCAATTGCGGTTAATGGGCTTATGTTTGTTGAGATGGTTGCGAGGATGGAGATAAGAGAGAGAGGTGGTGGTCTGTGTATGAAGAAAAGGGATGGACAAAATGAGGGGGTTGAAGTAATTGTGGATGGTGGGGAGGGGAAGGGGCTTGTAAAGAAAAGTAGGAAAAGTGGGGGTTCTGAAAATGGAGTGCTGGAAGTTAATGTGGGTGGCAGTTGGTTTATATTAATGTCGATGCTGGAGAGGGATGTTCGAGGTTAGTTGATGGGAATCAAAAGGAATACAAGGAATGAGGCAGTGGAGATGGTTAGGGTTTATTTAGGGGAAGCAGTTGCTGTTAATGGGTCAGTGTTTGTTGAGATGGTTGCAAGAATGGAGATAAAAGAGAGGTGGTGGTCTGTGTAGGAAGAGAGGGGATGGACAAAAGGAGGGGGTTGAAGTAAATGTGGGTGGTGGGGAGGGGAAGGGGCTTGTAAAGAAAAGTAGGAAAGGTGTGGGTTCTGAAAATGGAGTGCTGGAAGTTAATGTGGGTGGCAGTTGGTTTATATTAATGTCCATGCTGGAGAGGGATGCTCGCGATTAGTTGATGGGATTCAAAAGGAATACGAGGAATGAGGCAGTGGAGATGGTTAGGGTTTATTTAGGGGAAGCAGTTACTGTTAATGGGCCGATGTTTGTTGAGATGGTTACGAGGATGGAGATAAGAGAGAGAGGTGGTGGTCTGTGTAGGAAGAGAGGGGATGGACAAAATGAGGGGTTTGCAGTAAATGTGGGTGGTGGGGAGGGGAAGGGGCTTGTAAAGAAAAGTAGGAAAGGTGGGGGTTCTGAAAATGGATTGCTGGAAGTTAATGTGGGTGGGAGTTGGTTTATATTAATGTCCATGCTGGAGAGGGATGCTCGAGGTTAGTTGATGGGAATCAAAAGGAATACGAGGAATGAGGCAGTGGACATGGTTAGGGTTTATTTAGGGGAAGCGGTTACTGTTAATGGGCCGATGTTTGTTGAGATGGTTGTGAGGATGGAGATAAGAGAGAGAGGTGGTGGTCTGTGTAGGAAGAGAGGGGATGGACAAAATGAGGGGGTTGAAGTAAATGTGGGTGGTGGGGAGGGGAAGGGCTTGTAAAGAAAAGTAGGAAAGGTGGGGGTTCTGAAAATGGAGTGCTGGAAGTTAATGTGGGAGGCAGTTGGTTTATATTAATGTCGATCTTAGAGAGGGATGTTCGAGGTTAGACGATGGTAATCAAAAGGAATATAAGGAACGAGGCAGTGAAGATGGTTAGGGTTTATATAGGGGAAGCAATTACTGTTAATGGGCCGATCTTTGTTGAGATGGTTACGAGGATGGAGATAAGAGAGGGAGGTGGTGGTCTGTGTAGGAAGAGAGGGGATGGACAAAATGAGGGGTTTGCAGTAAATGTGGGTGGTGGGGAGGGGAAGGGGCTTGTAAAGAAAATTAGGAAAGGTGTGGGTTCTGAAAATGGAGTGCTGGAAGTTAATGTGGGTGGGAGTTGGTTTATATTAATGTCGATGCTGGAGAGGGATGCTCGAGATTAGTTGATGGGATTCAAAAGGAATACGAGGAATGAGGCAGTGGAGATGGTTAGGGTTTATTTAGGGGAAGCAGTTACTGTTAATGGGCCGATGTTTGTTGAGATGGTTACGAGGATGGAGATAAGAGAGAGAGGTGGTGGTCTGTGTTGGAAGAGAGGGGATGGACAAAATGAGGGGTTTGCAGTAAATGTGGGTGGTGGGGAGGGGAAGGGGCTTGTAAAGAAAAGTAGGAAAGGTGGGGGTTCTGAAAATGGAGTGCTGGAAGTTAATGTGGGTGGGAGTTGGTTTATATTAATGTTGATGCTAGAGAGGGATGTTCGAGGTTAGTTGATGGGAATCAAAAGGAATATGAGGAACGAGGCAGTGGAGATGGTTAGGGTTTATTTAGGGGAAGCGGGTGCTGTTAGTGGGCTGGTGTTTGTTGAGATGTTTGCGAGGATGGAGTTAAGAGAGAGAGGTGGTGTTCTGTGTAGGAAGAGAGAGGGTGGACAAAATGAGGGGGTTGAAGTAAATATGGATGGTTAGGAGGGGAAGGGGCTTGTAAAGAAAAGTAGGAAAGGTGGGGGTTCTGAAAATGGAGTGCTGGAAGTTAATGTGGGTGGCAGTTGGTTTATATTAATGTCGATGCTGGAGAGGGATGTTTGAGGTTAGTTGATGGGAATCTGGTGTTGGGGCCTGCCTGTGGATAAGCCTGCAAATAAAAGCCAGGGAGGGAAGTGGGGGTGAAAATGGGTGATGAAATTTAATTTGGGTGGCGGTAGGGTTTGTATTGATGTTGATGCCGAAGAGGGATGTTTAAGGTTGCCTGATGGGAATCTGGAGTAGAGGCCTACTGATAAGCGTGGAAATGTATTGATGTCGATGCTGGAGAGGGATGTTCAAGGTTGCCTGTTGGGAATCTGGAGTAGAGGCCTGCTGATAATCCTGGAAAGGAAAGTTTTGAGGGAGGGGGTGGTGAAAATGTGGTGATGAAAGTTAATATGGGTGGCTGTAGGGTTTTTATTGATGTTGATGCTCGAGAGGGATGTTTGAGGTTGAATTTGGAGTTGGGGACTGCTGATATGCCTGCAAAGAAAAGTAGAGGTGGGTTTTTTTTTTTTTTTTTTCGGTTTGCTAGTCATGGTTTTATGCAGTTAAATTTTTAATACTATTTGATGGGTTTGTGTTAGCAGTATTGTGTGTTATTATGGTAGTCTTGACTAATTTTGGATGTTTGAGGAAATCTTATGACAAGAGAAGAATAAACAATCAAGTTAGTTTATGACCTGAATGCAGATTGTTTTGTGGGCCAAATGCGTTGTGGAAGTGTGTTTGGTTCTTTTTTGGTACCTCAATTTTAAACTTTGAAAAGGCACAAATATACAAATTGCAGTAGTGGACATAGCTTCTAGGTTATATGATACTATGCTACTGATGAAGTGAATAGAGTGCAAGGAGCACTCAGAGCTAGTTCTGAGTAGCTACAAACAAGGTTTAAGGATCCTCTTCCTGATGCCTAACAGCTGGCTGGAAATTTAATGGCTGAAATGGCAAGAAACTTATCTAATCAGGTTGCTTTAGCCGATATACAAAGTGGAGAAGGTGTAGATACTGTTATTGTTGAACTGGCTAGAAAAAAATGAATCATGATCCTTCAGAAAAACTAGAATGGAAAAGATGCAGGCTCATCTCTCTTTTCAGCTAATTGGACTGTTGTGCCTTAAGCTCAAAATCAGTCTCGAAGAGATGCTGATGCATGTAATCCTTCAGTCAATCACCCTGTTGAACCTTCTGCAGAAAACCTGAATCAAACAGAAGTGGATGTAGCCAATCCTTCCACTAATCAGACTGTTGTACCTTCAGTAAGAAACGAAAAGGGAAAAGGCATGGATGCTACTAATCTTCAGCTAATTCAGCAAAGAGGCTAATGCTGGAATCACATCCTGCAGCCATCAGAATAATGTTTTCTGAACTTAGCTTAATGGAGCAGAATGCTACTGCTCGTACCTTTGAAGTATGAGTTCATTTTTATTTTATTTTTTTTTGGGCATCAATCTGCTTGTTTTCAGATGACAATGTTAATGGAGTGCTTTTGTTCAATTGTATACAGTATGTATATTTTTGCAGTTTACTGTGTGCTGTTTCCGAAGGTTGTGTGTTTTTTGGTGTTTTAGAATCTTCTTTTTCTCATCCTGGGGTTATGCTGTTGTCTCAATGAATATATTTTCTTGGTTGGAAGGGTATATGGTTTTTTGGCTGTAGAGACATCTGTCAAAATGTCTATATAGTCTTTAGGTGGTCTGTTTTCTTCACAATGAAAATGACAGTGCACCATGTTATTACTTGGACAAAAGTTTATGCAGATAGAGGCTGATTTTCCATATCGAAACTAAATTAGAAGTCATGTTAAATTTTTGAAAGAAAAGGCTTTTTTTCCATTTCAATTGAGATCTTCACAAGTCAAATAATTTGATGGTTGGATGAGTTTTCAACATAGTACATTGACATGTGTTTTGTGTTTTATTCCAAGACCTTCAGATTCATGTTGATAGTGAAATGCCATGTTTCCTTTTGACGTTATGACAGGGCTTCGTAGTTGCTTTGAAGTGTTTGTCTTGTTCAGTTTGTTTTGCTTTACATTTGTACATTTTAGTAGTTTGCAGGCATGTTGTATCTTACCATATAATTTTATTGTAGTGGGACGATGCAATAGATGGCTCACCTGAAGGAACAGGAGATCAGATGAATAGATTTCGTTTGGATAGCCCTAAGAGAAGCCGACTCTCCATTGAAGAAACCCAAACTGGCACAGTTTACTAAGAGGAGAAAACCTAAGAAGTGGAGTCTGGAGGAGGAAGATGCCTTGAAGTGAGGCTGTAAAGAAGTATCTAGTTTTGTTAGACAAAGCGGCTAGTAATTTTTTGCTTCCTAAACATGATGTTTTTGGTAAAGGGTTTTGGAAGCGGATCTGAAACTCTAAACATGATGTTTTTCAGGAGATAACTGAGGTAAACAAGATCCATCATCGTGTAGTGTTTATATTTGGTTGGCAATGTTTCTTTGTTTTAATGCTGGGCATTAGTTATTTGTTTGTTTTTCCCTTAATGATTCCTCCAGGTTGATTCGAAGGATAAGTCGAGGAACATAACGAAGATATATGTGGTTGATACCGTCAGGGTCTGCTTTCTTCTGCTACTCATCTTTTGGTTTTCTTATGTAAATGGTTTTTGTATGTACTTTTCCTCACGAAGGAAATCTGATAAATGTTGTACCAGTAAGGTACACAATTGAGGAGGGAAGTTTTCCAGCTTGCATCATAGATCTCATAGTACTTTCTCAAAAGAAACCTTGAGGAACACATAAGTAGCAATAGATTGATGAATCATTACGCAGACATAGGGCATGTATGACCTTTTGGTTTTAAAACATGCTACAGTAAGATCTACTAGGTAGTATCAAATATTCAAGAGTACGTTATTGTTTGGTCTTCGTTTTCAGTGACATTAATAATTTAGTACTTCAGCTACCATGGTGACAGTTTAGTAGTACTTATTAATGAAGTTAAAATGAGGACTAAGTTATAAAGGGATTGGATATAGAAATATAAGGATACGATATAGGGGTTTTAAACAAGAGGGACTAACTAATCATTTGGCTAAAACACTGGGATTCTATAATAAAATGCTCAAAAATCAAATATGATGATTCTAAGTCTTTTTGAGTAACTTAAAATATCCTGTTGCTTCTGGCAAACAACAAATATAATTAAATACCTCTAAATCAACAAGGTTGTATGTATTTTTTTAGTTGGCCATGCACGGTATGTTTTCAGAACAAGAACCTAATTAGACCTCAAAGAATTCATATCATATCTCTCTTTTTTCTTCTTTTGTAAATATCATAACCCAAACAAATTGCTTGGGCTCATTTGTTACTCTCATATGAATTTCTCTCTAATGCATTTGTCGTAGTTTCATTAGACTCCACAAAGCTTTTTAAACTAACATGTTTGGCTCGTGATCAACTATTATGTTTACAGTTGTGGTGTATCTACTCTGCTTAAGTTTTATGGTTCCAGTAAAAATGAGTATGGAAGAGATTAAGTTAAACTATGAGAATAGAAGCAAACATGCACTGATCTACTGAATTATCCGTGAAGTGGTGAATGATGTTTGTTTTGCATGATTGCGAAGAATGAATTTGATGAACATGAGTATTTTAAGAATTTGCTGTAAATTGAGGGTAAAACATTTAAACTGCAGGACAATTCATCTAGGGGGACGGAAGAAAACAGAGAAGGAGATGAGGAATCAGATCATGAATAAACTTGAAGGGAATGGAGAAGCTTTTTATGGGAAAAAACAACAAAATTGTGGAAGTAGCGAAGCTCAAGACAAAGAAATGAAAAGGAGGAAAAGATGGCAATTCTGCCAATGATGGGAAATATGTAAAGGCTGGGAAATTCGTGTGCCTATGTCAACACTGACACCTACTGAAGCTGCATGCGCGGCAAGAAACAAGTCTATTTACCCTTGTAATTTGTAAAGATGTTACATATACCCCTTGTTGGGATATTTCCTCTTGGGAGGAAAGAAAAAAGAGAAAAGAAAAGGGAGAAGAAAAAAATTATTTTTCACTTGTTGTTCGGATAAGATTAGAAATGAAAGGAAAGAAAATATATTTTTCTTGTTTGGATAATTGTAAAAAGAGGGAGGAAAGAAAATATATTATTATATATTTACTATAATACCCCTATGATTATATTTCTATATTTAAATACTTATAATAAATTTATATGAATATTTTTTTCATGAAAATAGCACAAATGATAATAAAATAAAAATCTAGTAAGTAGCATCTATCCGAAATGTAAGATGGATAATGAATCGTCTCCATAGAATAATCGATAACTATTTATTAATTAATTAATTCAATAGCCAATTTAGATTAATTATCAACATAAAATTAATTTAAATATGTATAACATGTATTATTATCTATGCATATAATAAGTTAGTTGTTTTTACTCATCATTTTCTCAACTTTTTTTTTTATTAAAAAATTATTATTTAGCAATTAAAAAAAAGAGAGTATATTGTAGCATTGCGAACAATCATGAAAAGTCAATTGAATTACAAAAAATGAGATAAATTATATATTTGGAAAGATAAGCATAACCCGTTACTCGGGTGAACACTCCAAATTTATCGTAAAATTTGTAGAGTTCTTGAAAGCCCAAGGTAGGCTTATTTTTCTATCAAAACGACTCAATCAAATGTAACCTACAACATCATGTTGTGGATGCCAACAATCTAAGACACGAAAATATGTTTAGCCTTTTTTTTTTTTAATAATAATTTTTATTTCTTCTTTTGCAGTAACTTCAAAAAGTGTTCGAGGGGCTATTTTAAGGGATGTTTTGTGTCTGTTTTGGTGGGTTTTTTTGGGGGGTTTTTTTAGTGGTTTTGAATCTGGTATGGGGTGGTTTTTAGAGCTGCTTTGGTGGTCCAAATGACATGTCCAAAGGAGTTGCTCTGTAAGAGTTTTGGAGGGCTGTTAGTAACAGTTTCGGGGTTGATTTTGAGGGCTTTGGGTAGGTGTTGAGTCTGTTTTGAGGTTGATTTTAGGCCTATTTTTTGAGGTTTTTTTGGATGATTTTGAAGCTAGTTTGGGGGTGTTTTTGGGGCTACTTTGGTGGTTCAAATGGGCTGTCCTAAAGGGTTGCTCTGTAAAGGTTTTGGGGGCTATTGGTAACATTTTCATGGCTGATTTTGGGAGCTTTTGGTAAGTGTTGGGTCTGTTTTTGAGTTGGTTTTGGGGCTATATTTATGGTGTTTTAGGGCTTTTTTGTAGCTGTTTGAGGGCTAGTTTTGGGCTTGTTGGGGAGGTGTTTGATGGCTGTTTTAAGGGGTGTATTTTTTGGGCTATTTTTGGAGGTGTTTTGAGTGTTTGATTTTTGTTCAATCATGCCCTTTATTGTATTTTGAATTGTTTCCAACCCGTTATTTTTCTCGATTAACTCCCTTCTTTGAATTAATCTAAACTAGACATTCTAATTGCTCTTTTTTTCTATTTTTTCAGTTGATGATTATCATTTTTTTTTTTGGTATTTTTGTAATACCGAAAATAAATAAATAAATAAATGAGAGCAAAAATTATGTGCAAACACTACATACAATTAGGATTTTCAATGATCATGGATAGCAGAGTTACTTCGCTCCTATAATCAACTAAAGGCGAGGATTTAGTAAGTGAAATTCCATATGAGATGGATTTCTTAAGCACATACCAACCTCTTTTGATTCAATAATGCAATAAAATTTATTGGTAAAGAGAATTTATCGGTACAAAAATGTACTAATATGCATAAAACAAAATTTTGTTAATGAATGACATAAAAAACAAAAACTATTTGGTACATATCAAACCTCCGAGACTTTTTTTTTTTTTTTGAAGCTCAACCGATGAATTTTAGCTTAGGTCGAAGTATAAATGGGCCTTACATAAAAGGATAGCCCAATCCGATAATGATGGAATTAAAACTCGTGAGATTCCCGGAACGATCACCGATAGCGAGTGGCCACCTTCCCCCTTATCTTTATGATAAAATGATCCCAGCATTGGTAAGAGTATACGACAATTTTTTAAATAGAATCAATCAAGAAACTCCTCTTCTTTATTCCGAAATCTCAAAATCAATAACTTACATTAGAGTTTCAAACTCCTCTCATCAAACTTTAATTTCAAATTTTACTTCTTAGAATAGCTTTACTTCAATAATCGACGAAATCTCAAACTTGATTTGCACTATAACAATTGAAAAACTAACAATAGCTACAAGTTCTGCAACGAGTAATGCGCTAATCAATACATTTGGTTATATGAAAACAATAACGCAAGTGTTATAGAAATAAGAAGAAACAGAGGAAATACTAACTCGATGGTTTCTAAGGGAGCAAGTACAACTTTGGTCATAGCCCCGTTAAAGCCTCGCCGACTTCTCTACTCCTCATGATATCCCGAGTTTTTACATTTCAAAGTGTTCTTTTTAAAATTTAGAAAGATGCAAAATAGGAACTTTCCATTCCACTCACCGAATTGAAAAATAAAAAAGAAAAAAGATGAAAGCTTTACCTATATTCCGAGTTTAAAACAACTAGGTTTTTACTTTGTTAAAGAGAAAAATAAAGGGAAGATTTAGAATATTCCATCCAAAGTTCATTTAGTTATCGCATAATTTTCCTTTTCCCCGTTGCTTTTAGTCGTAACTCACAACTCAAGCAAGAAAAGGAAAAAGAAAAAAAACAACACAATTTGAAAAGGGAATGAAAAACTCGATGATGATGATAAAATAAAAGGAGAGGAGTAGGAGGCACATACTCTAACAAGCAATCTTGAGATCGTGGAGTTGAAATCGGAGCTCAAAAGGAGCAAGAGAAGAGGAGAATGTAGAGAAATAGGATCATCTAGCTCTTTGGGAAGCACTATGGTAATCCCATCGTACACGTCTCCAAAAACCCCACCCTTCTTCTCGCTATTCAGTTTCAAAATCCATCATCAAAATTCTCTCCTTTTTTCCGGTTCTTGTTCTCGTTAGGGAGTACAATATTTTTGTAGCTTGTAATGCAACTATGATAGTATTAGCTTCGTAGCTTGTACCGCAACATCCAACCGAAGGAGTAAAAGAGGCTTGATTTGCATATCTATTTTGTGGATCGCAGAGAGTAGAAAAGGAGGGGGACGACTGAGGTAGATGAGGGAAAAAATGGAAAAGAAAATGTATTTTGGTGATTTAAACGTTTTTCCTTCCAATTTCCTCCCAATTTTGAGAGGAAAATGGGTCCCACCTATTTTACGTTTATTTATTTATTTTTTTTCTTTCCACTCGCTTTCCTCTCCAAACCAAACGAAGGAAAACATTTCTTTAATCCCTATTTTCTTTCCTCTTTATTCAAACACATGGATAGTGTTTCACTTGATTCATGGAAATTGTTGCTATTGCTGCTGTGATGGTTTGGCGGTGGTTAAGAACGAACGGTGACGGAATGATAATAATATTAACTTTTTAATAAAATTGTTTTAAATAACCCCACAAATTGCGGCGACTACAATGGCGATGATGAAAGTAGAGGTAATAATGAGTTTTTTTTCACTAAATAGGGTATTTTTTAATTTATTTTTTTCAAAATAAGGTATTTTAAATCTTATTTATAAAAATAGGATAGTTTTGCCATTTAGGCATCCATGTCATTTTTTTAATTAAGTGTTATAATATATATTTAATATAATAATTTAAAAAATAGAAAATAAAAGAAAAAATTAACTTACTCTCTCTGTATCTCTTTTGTTATCTTTGTCCTAATTTCTTAAATTTCAAATACTCTCACAATTCAAAGCCTCAGTTACTAAAAAAAAAGGTTCTTTAGCTAAAATATTATA